ATTAGCCAATATGTTGTGTTTTTAGATACGGCTTGACTGGAACTCCTCTTCAGAACCGSTTCGCTGAGTTCTGGTGTGTCCTTGATTGGGCCAATCCAGGCTGTCTTGGGTCATCTAAGAAGTTCATGAAAGAATACAGCCGGCCTATCAAGAAAGGACAACGATTTAATGTTACTAAGAGAGAATTAGCTGTTGGCCGGACAAGTATGTTGTATCAGTGTTTCAGAGGCATTTTTAAYGAACTAAGCTAAAAGCCAGTGTACTTTAATATGTAAATCAGTCCAAGTATGGAAGCATTGTCTTGTTTTATCTAACGTTTGCATAAAGAAGCAAGAAACAAGATGGTGGGAACTAGCGGTAATCTAGTGTGAGCTGCGTCGGTGTTTCTAAAGAGACAGTTATGTGAAAAGATAAATTTAACACCGTTAAAAAGTATGTGAAACAACCTACTGGCGTTTCTCCTCGTTTCTCCTCTTTTCTCCGACGAAGGATTAACCGGTCCGAAACGTCAGTAAGTTGTTTCACCTACTTTTTTACGGTGTTAAATTATCTTTTTACATAACTGTATCAAGAAAACAAATGTATTGCAAGAATATCATCATTTATTTCTTTAACAAATGCAGCAACTATTTCGAATACTGAGACCTTATTCTCTCTTTCAAACCCTTATTGATTGTAAGATTCTTATAATAAGACTCGAAGAATTGTAAACGAGAACAATTGTCACTCGAGTCCATACTTGGACATGTTTTCAATAAAACGAACTAAGCTAAGGTTCTGTTCTTTTCTCAGTGTCAAAACAACTGCAGTCTCAGCTGAGTCAATGGCTTCTGCGGCGTACAAAAGACTTGATATCWGACCAGCTACCCTGCAAAGGTAAAACACATGGAATAGTGAGAACAGAAACGGCACAATTGAATTGTTTCGCCATTATTACTCCATTAATAACGGTAGTACCAATCACAGCGAAAACAAGAATAAAYTCGTGCAAGCGTAACTTCTTAACTGCTAATGACAATGATAGAAGCAGCTTACAGCAGATACAGTAGCGCTCGCAGTAATGATAACATCGAAAGCATCAGCAGCAACAATACAACAGCAGTAAAAGCAGGAGCAACAAAATAAGACGAACAAGAACCAGAACAACAAGAACAACAACAACAAGAACAACAATAAAATCGATTACATTAAGGCTGAATGGACTACATAGCGAATCCACAGTAGCATTATAGTTACAATTGCTGTSAAAACAAATGAAAACAAAATACAACGCAAAAATAAGAAGAACAAGTACATTACTATAATGTATAATGTTAAGAATATCTTTTCTTGTTTTACTAAATTRCAGACGACARGGTTGTGTTTTGCCCTATGACGTCATTCCAAGAGGATRTCTACGTCACTCTGCTCCAGTCTCCTGACGTGAAGCTGATCACCAGGAAAGATTTYCCTTGTGACTGTGGTAGCGGTGTTGCTAGGGGAAAGTGCTGTTACCAGGTAGTTCTGATGATAATTTCCTCATCTAAAAAATATATAATAAAACGAATTAAACAAAGTAAAGCAACAAGAAAGGAATCTAGTAGTAATACTCGCAAGTCAAATGATTCCATATCGGTGTACATCAGTGACGATCACAGCGCAGACAACACACGGCTTGGAAACCGGAACTCTCCCGTCAATGATTGACGCCATTCAAAAAAYGTGTAATAGACCTCTGAAGCTTTTACCTCATGTACCATATATGGAGTGCATTGCAGGGACAGAACATGGCGGATTTATGTTGTTTTATCTAGACACTGATCCCACAATGCATTGAAGATCAAGTGGTGATGTAAAAGTTTCAGAAGTCTATTGGGGGAAGATCGTTGTCTATTGTACAGCACGGTCACGGCATGGAAATGCTGTAGGGTTTTTCAGTTGTATACTCAAAAATGGAAGCGGGCTTGTCTTATCGGACTCTTTTTTCTCCTGTATTTCTTGTTCTTCTTCCATGTTCCTCGTCCTATTGTTCTTCTACTTGTTTTTCTTGTTCTTTTTGTTCTTTTTGTTCTTGTTCTTGTTCTTCTTAGTCTTTTTGTTCATCTTGTTCTTGTTCTCCATGTTCTTCTTGTTCTTCTCGTTCTTCTTGTTGTTGTTCTTCTCGTTCTTCTCGTTCTTCTTTTTGTTGTTCTTGTTGTTCTTCTTCTTCCTTGACGTTTTATTGTTATTTTGCATTTTACAGACTGACCAAGATGGCGAACCAATACGTTCTGTCTTGATGCGATTTCTACAGTTATTACTGAAAGCAGCTAATCACACAGCATTGTTGATGCCTCAAGTCAAACAAACAARAGACCAACGTTACAAAGTGAGTCCTTGGATCATCTTTGTCTCTWCTTTGCCGGTAKTTCTGCATGACCCTTAAACTTACATTWAATKTGCTGTCAAGCTGCAACTCATTGYTTTASAYGTTTCAAATAATATTTCTTTTCAGGCMAAAGTTATTTGCGATCAAGTATTTGCTCGTCATCCAGAATATGCCCAGTCCCTGTCCGATTCCTCTTTCCAGACCCTCTCAGACCCTTCTTACTGTGGTAAAATGAAAGTCCTGGATCGATTGCTTCGTATGTTTGAGAAGGAGAAAAGCAAAGTGTTGCTGTTTTCTCAATCATTTCAGGTAAACAATTTGAGCACGTTATTGTTCTTTTGATTGTCGTTATGATGGCTTTCCTATTTGATAGTTTCAGTTATTTACCAAATGTCCAACTGTTTGGAGAAAAAAAAATTGAACCAAGATAATTTCCCAAACACAACATTTATATCAAAACACATACGCGCATTCAAATTAAAGGAAAATACTAATACAATCAATTGAAGAAATTCTGTCCTCCAATTTATACAAATATATCAACATATAGGGTAGTTTAATTTG